GAACCTCAGCATCCAAGCCATTGAGACCGACACCACCGTTGCGTGCGTGCGGCACCAACAAATACTATTTTTGGGGCTCCTTAGTATCCCTGTAGCCGCCTTCGTAGCATAAATAAGTGTATCGAATAATTTCTGCTACGTAGCCCCGGTTATCGTTACGAACTGCAGGGAAGCGCACGCATTCAAGAGAAAGCGCTCCAGAGATATGCTAACACACACACACACACACACGCGCGCGCGCTCAAGCACAGCTGAAGCTCATCGTCCACTTTTTCGAGGACGTCGCAAGTGCCGGGGTGCCCAGACTACAGACCTGCTTCTCGAAATTCAGTCCTGTAATTCATCAAGGACTTGGTCAAAGTTTGAAAAATAACAGTGAACGTGTGCAGCCGGCGGCTCGTCCGTGAGACCCGGCCAATAAAGTCTTCATCTGTCCATGTGCTCATGCCTAGGCTTTTGCACAACGCACGTACTTTTCAAAGATAGCGGCTTGTGTTGGCAGTCGAGAAACTCATTGGATTCATGCAGAAAGATTCCCGGGAGTCCTCGTAGTTGTACTTCAGCTCCATCCTGCATGGCTTATGTTGCATGGCTTTGGTTACGAGGTACAAGGTTACCACGGTAAAAAAGCTTAATAACTAACCATACGGGAACCAAGTGGCACTATGTGGAGAGCCATGTGCAATTTTGGTGTCACCTTAAACAGTGGCCAGCCGAAATGTCTCGCTGCCTCGCTGGCGAGCATCCCGAAGCCTTCCTTGCAAGTATCGAGGCATGCCACCCCAGAAAGAAGGGGAGACTCGACAATAAATAGCTAATTCCCGACTTCAGAAAGTTTTCTGGGTATTGTCAAGTGACCAGCATTGAGAAACCGGTCTGTATGGCAGCTTTGGCATCGACCCCGGTCAACCATATCCCGCCAGCGTACAATATCCGGAAGTGACGATTGATAGCTTGGGTCGTCCATCGAAGCAAAGCAAAGATCTGGCGGTACCGCACATCCTCACAAATCTCAAGTGACAACCCCTGGCCCGAACATCTACTAGACCATATAGTTATATAACGGTAGCCTAGTGGCAAACGAGGTCTCGGCTACCCCCTCGCATTCTTCGAGCAGCCAGCTGCCCAGCAATGCGCAGTCAAAGCCTTTTCCGCATCCAGACGGAAATTGCTGGAGCCTGGGTTTAAGGTTCATGGCTTGGGCTTCGGGTTGTTTAAGAGGCTTTGGGGTTGAGGGCTTAGGGCTCAGGGTTTCGGGTTTCAGGGGGGTTGTCTCTGAGGCACGAGGTCACTTTGAAGGTCCCGAGAGAAAAGTCAGTGATGCTGGTGCTTTTCTTGTGCCTTCCACACCAATCACGAAAACGATCATATGCTCTGTCAAGACAGTCCTCAAGCTTGGAATGTCCGAAGTGTCCCATCCTAACCAGTAGGATAACTGCACTGGCAACGAATTGCTTGCCCCAGCCAGCAATGGCATGTGTGTGCGCCAGATCGGGACAAATAAACCGAGGATTCCGTGACCAAGGCAACTGTCGAAGGTGAGAGTATAGTCTGGGCCAATACGGGCTCGGGGCAACATCATCCCTGCCCAAGGATCTTGTTGAGCCGTTGGGGCCAACATCGTACCAATCCTTGGGGGTTTAGGGTTTATATCTGGGGTTGGACATGCCCTCATGCATACCTACGACCCGTTATTTAGACATAAACCATAGACGAATCAACTGAAGCCAGCCAGGTTTCTTCACCAGAGCATATGTGACAAAGCCTTTTCGAGCTGAAGCCGGTCTGAAGATGCATGCTTTTACGCAAATAGGGCCAATCGCCCTTGATATAAATTGTGGTGAAGCGGAATTTTCGAAGTTGCGAGCCAACTCGAACCTTATATA